TTTGGCTTCATCTTCGTCTCGTATATTCATTTGGCACCATGAATAAAGTTTTGTCCCATCTTTATCCTCTTGATGTCCATTAGTGGAGCTCACTAATGCTTGGATGTGAGAATCAAATGCTAGCTGTAACTTTTTGGCCCTTGAACGAGTGATTGGTCCTGGCGGCAAGGCTAATGCATCTTGGTTCATATCAGATGTTGTAGTGTCTACTACCCACTGATCTACATATATGTTCATCTGAACACAAGTCAGAAACTCTTCAATCCGTTCTTCTTTTGTTACAACATTTGTAGTATTGTTCACTTTCTCAAAATCTTCTTCAAACTTCCTGCAAAAACGTTTGACGTGTCCCTTCTTGTGGCAGTAAAAACACTTCACTTCTTCACTGGAACTCTCACTATCCTTGCTATATCTCCGTTGTTACTTCCCATTGTAATTCATCTTTGTCTTCATTTTGTTACGAGCTACAAAAGCTTATTCAACCTCGTTTTCTGCCCCTGAAGTAGATGCAGACATTTTCCCTAATTTTCTCCGGGCTTCCTCAGATAAGGCGGCATCACAAATAGCTGTAAATTTCAAGCTATTTTCCCTAGCGAATTCGACATCGCGGTCTTCATCGTCTCCCAACTGTCAGGCAAAGACGTCAACAGCCTCRTAGCTTTCACCTCCTCCTCAATCTTGACACCCATCCTTTCTAATTTGTTCAAGATATCAGTGAGTTCATTAATATGGGAATTCACCGAGGTTACCTCATCCATGTGGATATTAAAATACTTCGTCCATAAGGTTTTTCATACACGTCTTGCAAGGCCTTCAACAATTCTTTCACTGTAGTCTCTTTCGCCACTAGACTACAAACATTCATCGATAATGACATTCTGATATTCGCAACGGCCTGCTCATCCATCTCATTCCAATCCTTATCAATCATCCTTGTTGGTCTCTCCCCTAAAGTCTTGTGTATCTTCTTGCACGTAAGAAGATCTTTTACCTGCATTTTCCAAAAACTGAAATTCTCCCGATTGAACTTCAGAACCCCTTCATAATAATGGTGTGCTTGATATATGTTACCCATGTGCTGCAACCTTACAGCTCTGATACAACTTGTTGGGAAATTGAATACCCTGAATAATTTCCCCTTCCACATAAAATATCCAACACAACCAATAATATGAAAATAGGAAGAAAAGCAGTAAAGAACAAGAAAACGACACAGAAAAATTATACTAGTTCACCACTAAGGGCTACGTCCAATCTTCCACTCAGATGTGGGTAATTCAAAAATAATTATTTCACGATTGGAATACAAAATTCTCCTAAAAAATATCTCCTAAAGGTCCCAACAAAAGTCCCCTAGCTTCTAAGTATTTTAACACTATTAATACTTAGGAACAGGAATGAAAAACTCACAATAATCAAGATACAAATACCCCAATAATGTCTATCTTGATATGCCACAAAGCCTTTGCCAATGCCCGAGCCACCGCCACAAATTGCTGCCAAAATACTCCAAAAATTGGCTGAAACCTAAAACAATAAAGATAATGGGCTTTTGGCCTATTTGTTATTCACTCATTTCTTTTTTTTTATTTTGTTTTCAATTCTCAACGGATGTCACTTTATATTTACGACGCAATGCATCTAACTTTTGTTCCCATGAGAAAATAATAAAGTTGGTGCGAGTCATGGGTGTTCAGAATTTTCGGGTTCGTCATATATAGGAACCGTTAGGTTTGAATTGGATGGTCAACCAAACCAAATATTTTCGGGTTGGGTTGGGTTGGATTGTCGGGTTGTGTTTTTTTTTTTAAATTATCGCGGCAACGGGGAGTTAAGATTAAAACTAAATTGACGGATGAGATTAAGATATAAAATAGAAAAAGATAATATGAAAATCTTAAATGAAATACTATAATTAAAACTAAATGGACGGTTTTCACATTGAAGATATGTATATATATATATATATATATATAATACACATATATGCATAAATTCGGGTTGGGTTAAGTTGATCGAATTTTTGAAAGGTTAAACCCGAGACCAAACCCAATCCTTAGGTTGGTTTGGGTTGAGTTTGTCGGGTTGTCAAATTTTTTGAACACCCCTAATGCTAGTCTTAGTATATAACATATSTATGATTATTAAATTGTACGAATAGATTGATCTACTAATAAGAGATTTTGAATATGAGAGTCTCATATGTATGGAGAAGGTATCATCCATCCATAATACTTCTTAAAATAGTTTTATTGTTATTTAAGCTGTTTGATTTATTAAAGAGAGTTGATATTTTAATTAATATAAATAATTTTATGGTACGTTTTGTGTTTCATGTTATTGGTCGTTACCTTGTTTATCAATTTAAAATGTACTAAAATTTATCTTGTCATCCTAAACTCCTCACATCAAGAATAGTCATGATTTTTTCTAGGATAACTTATTTGTTGGTGTGAAATAATAAGTTCGCTTTTCTTTTATTTTCTAAAAAATTATTGTTGCAGTTTATTTGAGTACATAATATTCACTTAAATGATTGAATGAATTTTCTCMAGAACAATGAAACCTACCASACAGATGGTGAGCACTCTGATACTCAAGTATGAAGTATATGTGTTTGCAATCAAGATTTACACATACCTTGAATAGATCTTACCCTATGCAATTATTGGCAGTCACAAAATGGAAAAGTCATTAACTCCTTTGTSAGTTCCTCTTTGGATCACGAGAATCAACAAAGATTATGGCGACGTTTACCTACCTTAATTACCAAAGTCGTTGGCTGCTTTAAAGATGGTGTAACATATTCAGATTCGTAGTGGTGCATTGGAGATCGACACCCCATATGCAATTGACTTTCGCTCTTCGACCTCTATRTGTTGACGGCTCCTACCTTGGAATACTCCTAAATGTATTGTTCAGATAATGTGACATGTGACGGTTGCATTTTCGATCTCCTCTCCAACGTAATTTATTTTGATAATGTTTTAGTTACCGATTACAAATTAATAATTATTTTACCTATTTACTCGAATTCAACACTTCCATCCTAAAGTGATCCCCAAATTTGCAATAATATATTAGAAAATTGGTATCTCAATGATTTCTGACTTCTTAGAGTTGGATTACGAAATATATATGCTTGTTTAAAAAGAGTTGTTACGAAGTCTGTAAAATGATATTTATATGGTTTTTCAGATGGGCACCGTACGAAAACTCATTCACTGAAGTTAATAAACTACTATTTTTTTTAGTACAACACGTGAGAGTGAGGATCAAACTCACTACTAATTACCGCTGAGCTATGCACGTTTTGACAAAGTAAATAAACCTTTTTAATAGCTTATGGTAATATATTTGTGTATACACAAATTATTAAGATGGTTGTAGAAAAATAATAGAAAACAAATATTGACACCAAAAATATAYGTTTTTTCTTTTCTTTTTTTAATACAATATGTGGTGTGAATGATTGAACTCGCAACCTTTTGATTTGAGGTACATGCCAATCACCGCTGACATATGCTCGCTTTGGCATCCGATCTGAACCACTCATGACAATAATATTATTTCATCAAAGCCACTCTTCTCTATAGTTCTCTTAGAATCATATACTTTTAGTTAAAATTTCCACAAAATCAAATTTTGTGGTATTTGATTATTTTGGTCATGCTTGACAATTTTTTATTTTTATTTTTAAATAGGTGAGTTTAAGCACTCTGTTATTGATTAGTTTGAGCACACTTTCACTTATGTATTTTGCAACCATCTTTATATGTTTTCATAGTTGTATTTGATCACAGTTTTATTAGTTGAATTTTGTATGTTTTAACTTAAATTATAAAAATAGAAGACGTTGACAAATAAGGTCCAAGCTTAAAATAAAAAATTTGGCTTAAATAATTAATTGCCTTTGTATTGACAAAAATTTGTAGAGAATATATATATATATATATATATATATATATATATATATATTTGTTGATACTAACAAGTTAATTTCAATACTAAACTTTCAATTTCATTAATCGTTAAATAATTTTTTTAGTACAATATGTGGATGTTGGATCAAACTCACAACCTTTTTTATTGAAGATATATGTCAGTTATCGTTGAACTATGTTCGTTTTGAGTTAATGATTAAATAGATTGAAATATTATTATAAATAAACTCAAATGAATGATGAATATTGTTCAYACAAAGTTAATAAATATATTATYATGGAAAAAACAAAAATTTAAATTAATAAGCGAACATTWGATTAATGTTAATTTTTTTTATACCCAATTAATTTTAACTATGAAAAGGTATAAAGCAAAATTAAATATTCAATTATTGAGCGGTAAATTATTATATTAATTGAATCTTCGTCGAATAATATTTGATATCTAAATGGATTGAAAACTCCTAAAAATATTTTTTAAATATAAATAATACTATTTTTAAAAAACAATAAGATAAATAATATAGGTYGGAAACTATTTCAAAAAATAGGAAAGTTAAATCATAACCATTAACTGCGATTTGAGATAAAACGCAACCGACATATGTGATTTTAGTAAAAACGCAGTCATTGGCCATGAGTTTGGTACGAAATCGCAATCGTTGACTACGATTTCAACATGATATTAGAAGATACATGTTAAGGTTGGAAATTGCATGCATTGGCTACAATTTCTACAGGATATATAAAGTTATCGTACATATAAATTTGTTATTCACATGTTAGACGTAGACTCTTTRCTATAAAAATATAATCTTTATTATAAAAATTTCTCAATTTCATTTAGCATTCTTTAAAATAAAATCATTATCCAGCATTTCAAATTTTCTATTATAAAAATATATCATTTTCAATTAGGATTATTTAAATTAATTTTCTTCTCCATACAACTATCAATCTACTCTTATGATCCAAAAATAGATTTGTTGTCTCTTTAGTCTAATTGTTTGCCAACAATTTTAAGTATTCTCATTTTCAATTTTTACATTACCATTATATATAGGTGATTTTTTATATACTATATATAGGTGATTTTTTATATACATTATTGCAATGATGTATATAATCTGAGATTTATTGAAAAAAAATATGTCAAGGTAAATATATACTTTTTACTTATAATAAAATAAATTATATTTTATATGTAAAATAAAAAGAAACTATATAGGAAATAAAAAATAAAAAATAAGAAACCACCAATATAAATGTGTGAATATTTTAAATGGATTTATACACGACTTCACTTATTTTTGTTAATAAATTATCATAAAGATATATTTGTACTTATATAGATTGAGATTTATCGRAAAAAAAAACATGTTGTTGGTGAGTATATACTTGTATTCATGTATATAAAAAAAAACTACATAAATAAATATATAAATATTTTAAATGGAAATCGCAAACATGTACGTTACTCCCATAAACAGATATGAAAATTGCGTACAATATAAGCAACTTCTATAAATAGAAATTACGYGCATTGGACGGGAYTTTCATCAAAATTGCGTATAATATCCTCTCGTCTTTTTCATGTTGGCACCAAAATCACATTTGTTATATGCATGTATAACTTAATTTTATAATTTTACTTAAATTATATTTATTTTGTTATTACTTTAAAATCTACCTTATTTTTGTAATTTATTTTTTAAATCACATTATTCTCACACTTAACCAAAAATAAAAACAAAAAAGTTTTTGTTTTTWTTTTATATTATAAAAAATATATATTAAAAAAAAGGAATTGCCCGACCCGATAACCCAAAGACTTACCCTAAACCACTGGCCGTTTCTCTCTCTATATATTCTTTGAAATTAGGGTTTCTAGTGTTCTTTAACCATTCTCGTCGGCGAGCTGCAGCTTTCTCATCTCCTCAACAATGGTGGCCGCCAAGAAGACCGTAAGTTTCTCTCCTTCTACCCTCACTTTCCTCCTCTGCGGCTTAGTGTTGGGACTAGTTTCTATTGAATCTCATTTGGTTCTGATTAAGGAGGAATAGCGAACCGGCGATTCAGATTTTTCCTTCGATTTTCGTTTTGCGTTTGCTAATTCTTGGCGAGGGCTGACATTTTTCTTGTTGTGATGATTTTAACAGAAGAAGACCCATGAGAGCATCAACAACAGGCTCGCTCTCGTCATGAAGAGTGGGAAATATACATTGGGATACAAAACCGTCCTGAAGACCTTGAGGAACTCTAAAGGTAAATCTGTTGTTGAAGTTTTTTCATCTGATCCGATCTCTGGACTTGTCTCGATGGATGGGAGTTTATTCGTTGTTTAATCAGCTCATTAGGTGGTTTTTCCTTTACTAATTTTCGGTTGATTATTTAGTTGATTAGTTGTATCTTAGCGAGGGTTGGTTTTGACTGAAATTACTGAAACCGTAGATCAAAATCTGGTCCCAAGTCACAAATAATTAATTTTATGTTTTTCGATCGTAAACTTGTTGCCTACAACATTCAACCCATTGACGAGATTCTTCGCTTTGGCAAAATAATCTTTCATGTTAATTGAGATTGGGGTTATTCTTGGCCTCGGAATTGATCTCGATTTGGGTCACTAGCATTATTTCAAATTACTATGTTTCTGTATTTGCTTCCAGCAGGGATGAGATCCGTAGCATCTTATTTGTTATCCATGTTTCTATACCTGAGTGTTTACATTTGAGTTTATATCTGTTTTTATGTTTGCAGGTAAGCTGATTATCATTGCCAACAACTGCCCTCCACTCCGAAAGTCCGAGATCGAGTATTATGCGATGTTGGCAAAGGTTGGAGTTCACCATTACAATGGAAGTAAGTTCCTGTTCTGTTTAATAATGAACTGGACTGACCCTTTATTTTTCGTACTACATTTCAATTTCTTTGGCACTCAATATAAGAGCATGTATCCATCTACTTACATGTTGTATTCTGAATGAAAAGTTCAAATTGTTTTCATCCTGATTGCAGATATGATATCAAGCTAGAATTGTTAGATTTCTTAATGGTCTTTTCCTGTTTAACATGAGCATTTGCTGCCACATATCACTAATGTGTTCATTTTTTTTGACTGTTTATCGCTTTTCTTGTGTGGCATCTTTTGTTTTTGATCTAAAGCTGATTTTCTTAATTCTGAAAGACTTGTAAACTGATTTTTATTTTTATGTTTTCAGGCAATGTAGACCTTGGGACTGCTTGTGGCAAATACTACAGAGTATGCTGCCTCAGCATTATCGATCCAGGTACACTTTTCTCTGATCAAGTTTCTGTTTTTGGACGACCTCCCTTGCGTAACGTTTTGATTGTGGAATTTGAATGGCTTTCAGGTGATTCGGATATCATCAAGAGCATTCCTGGAGAAAGTTAGGTTGCAACTTCCTCTCAGATCATAGATTTTTGTTTTGAGTTTCTTTTTAATCCACTTGATTTTGGGTTGGATGTAGTGACGTTTTTGCTTGTGAGGCATGTTATTATTGATCAAATGGTTTCATTATAAACTTTTTTATGTATGAGATCTTATTCCAGAGAACTTTGATATCATTATTTTGATGTTCCAATTACCTATGTCAATTAGAAGCATGTTGTCACCAAATGTTTATTTTAGTATTGATTAATTCTGCTTCTTCAATTGGTTCGTCGCTCGAATCTCGGCTTAACTAGATGTAAGAGTAGTTTTAAATCACTTTAAAACACAATCTCTTCATGCAGATGCAGTTGAAATCTGGAGATTTCTTTTTGTGATGGTTTCGGCTGAACACTTGTTTGAAGAAGAATTAACTTTAAGTATTGGAGTCTTTTTAAGAAGTGTTAGAAGAAATACAACATCTTTAAGCATTAGATTCTTAAGGGCATAATTTAAGTTGTGTRTTTTAGTAATGTACTTGTTCCTCTTTTTTTTTAATTTTAGTTTCTCGTTTTTTTAATTTTTGTTATTAGAACGTTACGTAGTTGTTTTTGTTTTTGATTTTTTTAGAAGGTAGGAATTTTATATACAACACAACCAAATCAAGTTTTTTTCTTTCTTATCTTCAGCTTTTTTTCTAAGCAAATTAAAATAATACTTCATCATTTTGACTTGTATGATGCATGATTAATATTTATAAGTTATGTATATGTTTTTATTTATTTTGAAAAAGAGTAAACAAGAACCAATAAATGAAAACATTATCAAATGRGATCATATTTATCGGAACAAGTGCCCTTAATTCAAGGCAGATAAGGCCATGAACCAAAAGAGATTTTTGTAATAAAAAAAGTAAAAACCACCGTATGATTTCATTCAATTATAAAAAAGTTATCTTTTATTAAGAGGGTACGATGAGGAAAAAAAACCCAAATAAGCATTCAAAACTTCAAAATGTTGGAATATGATTGGCATTTTAAAAGTTACAAAGGTTCAATTACTTATAATTAAAAAAATGAAATTAGATCTACAATCTACTATACCATAGAGTTTATCCTTTCCAAAAGAGTTGAAAAAATTATATAAAATTTAAAATTGATTTAAACTTGTGAATACATGCCATTGGGCTATATTTAATTATTTATATAAATTTAAAAATTTGTTTGAAAATTATATAATAATAAAATTAAATTAGGGGAAATTAAGAAAGGAAGTATATTTAAAAAGAAGAAAATAATTGTAAAATATAAACTTGTAAATATTTATGTGAACGGTATATATTAGTTAATTTTTTCCATGCAAGATATAGATTTGACAATTACTGTGATAAGAAAAGGTATTGGAAGAAAATGTGAATATTAATTTAAAACTCATGAATTAATAAATTGTAATCATACTTGTTTAATAACAATCTTCTCATTCATAATTTAATTTTAAAATTCAAGCCCAATTTTAAAAACAAAGAGTCAACAATTTTATTTTTCTGCATCTAATATTAATACATGTTGATTAATAATTTTATTAATTTTCTAACCTCTATATCTATATCTATCTATAATATATTAAAAAATACGGATGTGGAAGAAACATTTTTTTTGGACAATATTAACCCTYGCTTCTTTTGTAATATACAAATTATCTTTCTCTTCAATTTATGTCTCTCTCATCCATGGCTCTTCTTTTTTATRTGATACTCTCCTATCTTTTCTCATTTATCTATCCCTTATTTAATTATAATTTTCTTCTCTCGTTAACTTGAAAAGCKAAGAATATMAAAAATTTTGTCTTTAATTTTAAAATTACATTTTTTTACTTTTAATTAGGTTGAATGGTGGAGCATGAAGTGTTGGAATCTCAAGTTCGTGCGACTATTAAAGTGATTCTCTTCCTCCTCATTTTCACACTAATTTGTTCTATTTCTTTATACATAATTTTTTCTCTTTAGTTCATCGTAGTTTCTAGATTTCGTGATAAAATACTAACATTTTAAATATTCTTTTTATGTCGTAGAGTAGCGTTGTTTAGCAATAGTTGATCTGTCTCTTGCAAGCATTTGTCAGTTTGATCTCAAACATAAGAAGTAAATATATTTTATGAAAATATAGGATAATCGCCTTGATTTTGTTCTTCAATATTGCTATTTTTAAATTCGGACTATTTTGTAGTTAATTTTAATATCATTATTTTTTTATTTTAAATATTAAATTTTTTTTTAGAAAACAAAATTTAAATACACCACAAAGTGGATTAAATATGAACAAAACATGAAAGGATAAGAATATCACAAGTTTTGCCTTTATTTATATAAATTAATTTTAAAATTACATTTTTTTTTACATTTAATTAGGTTGAATGGTAGAATATGAAAACCGTTAGAATCTCAAAGGTTTTTTTTTTGTAACTTTTCTACTCCCTGCCACTGTAAAAGTGGTTCTCTTCCTCCTCATTTTCAAACTAATTTGTTCTATTTTTTTATAAATATTTTTTTTCTTTTAGTTCATCGTGGTTTCTAGATTTAGTGATAGAATACTAACATTTTCAATATTCTTTTTATATTGTAGAGCGACATTGTTTAGCAATAGTTGATCATTGTGTGTCTCTTGCAAGTATTTGTTAGTTTGATCTCAAACATCGGTAAGAAGTAAATATATTTTATGAAAATATAGGATAATCGCCTTGATTTTGTTCTTCAATATTGCTATTTTTAAGTTCAGACTATTTTGTAGTTAATTTTAATATTWTTWTTTTTATTTTAAATATTGAAAATTTTGTAAGGAACAAAATTTAAATGTGATTAAATGAATGAAACATGAAAGGTTAAGAATATCAAAAGTTTTGCCTTTATTTATATAAATTAATTTTAAAATTAAAATTTTTACATTTAATTAGGTTGAATGGTGGAATATGAAAAATGTTAGAATCTCAAAGGTTTTTGTAACTTTTTTACTCCTTGTGACTATAAAAGTTGTTCTATTCCTCCTCATTTTCACACTAATATGCTCTATTTTTTTATACATATTTTTTTATCTTTAGTTCATCGTGGTTTCTAGATTTAGTGATAGAATACTAACATTTTCAATATTTCTTTTAATATTGTGGAGCCACGTTGTTTAGAAATTGTTGATCATTGTGTGTATCTTGCAAACATTTGTCAGTTTGATCTCAAACATCGGTAAGAAGTAAATATATTTTATGAAAATATAGGATAATTATCTTGATTTTGTTCTTCAATATTGCTATTTTTAAGTTGGGACTATTTTGTCGTTAATTTTAATATCATTATTTTTTATTTAAAATATTGAAAATTTTTTTTTGGGAACAAAATTTAAATTGTGTGGATTAAAGACAAACAAAACATGAAAGATTCAGTATATCAAAAGTTTTGCCTTTATTTATATAAATTAATTTTAAAATTATATTTTTTTACATTTAATTAGGTTGAATGGTGGGATATGAAGTCTTAGAATCTCAAAGATTTTTGTAACTTTTCTGACCATAGAACTCACCCTCTTTATTTTCATACTAATTTCTTCTATTTTTTTATACATATTTTTTTTCTCATTAGTCATCATGGTTTCTAGATTTAGTGATAGAATATTAACATTTTCAATATTCTTTTTTATGTTGTAGAGTAGCGTTCTTTAGCAATAGTTATCATTGTGTGTCTCTTGCAAGCATTTGTCAGTTCTATATTTTACGAAAATATAGGATAATCGTCTTGATTTTGTTCATCAATATTGCTATTTTTAAGTTTAGACTATTTTGTAGTTGATTTTAATATCATTATTTTTTATTTTAAATATTTTTACATATTTAAAAATTCTTAGGTTTCTGTTTTATTTAAATACGACAGTATTAATTTTTGATTTTCTCATATACATGAAGAATAAATAACTATCCTATCATTTTATTTTATGATATACTTTCTACGAATATTATTGTTAGACACACAATAACAACATTTTTAAGGCCAACAAAAGCATAGCTTATCAACGGTTAATGCATGTTTATCTAACCACGAGGTTGTTGTAAATATATGTAAATTAATTTATTCCRAGCTATTTATTTTAATAAGTGTTACTAAATTTTGAAAATAATAAATAATTATCAAAATATATCAGAAAAATCACTTAATATTGATAGATAATTTATTTTGTTATAAATAAAAATTATTGTAGTAATTGATTGATTCATAACTTTTTATAACTAAAATTAACGTTAATATATCATGCGATAAAATTAAGATACCACGTGCAATGCTCGTGTTAAATTACTAGTAATTTAARAAGACGAAAGTTTAAAAACCGATATCATTTTCTAATAGTCAATTTTTATTTTTTAAAACTTGTATAATACTTTACAAGTGTTTTTTAAAATAAAAAACTAACAAATAATTTTTTAGACAAATAAAATATAATTCTCATAAAAAAGATCCTTATAAATAAGGTTTTTTTTTTTGGCAAAATTATAAACAATTATATTTAAAAAAATTAAATAGAGAAATTATTAGTAAAGATTAAAGAAAAACATTTAAAAGCACAGAACCAAAGCAAACCGATGAAAGCTCTGGTATCAAAGTTATTGCTCCGGATTGGTTCCGATGCAGAAATCTTTCAATTTCAGTACTAGATCTGTCTCCGATTCCATTCCGGCGAGTTGAAATTCTACCGGAGTAGCGAAATACGCGATTTTTACGTCGTCTGGCGAGGGATTTGGTTCGTTTTGGAGGTAAATGGAAGGTTTTACTGCAGAAGATCTGTCCACAATCGGAGGAATTGCGACGGTGTCGCTTCTGCATTCCTTCATTCCTACTCACTGGCTCCCTTTCTCCGTCGTCGGCCGCGTCCAGAAATGGACTCTCTCCAGGACTCTCCTCGTCAGTATGTTTTCTGTAATCGGTCACACTTCTTAGATCTTATATTTTCGCTTTCGTTTCACTATCCTTGTGATTTTATTTTCTCGTGAGTTTCTCGGAAATATGTTTGATTGTTGCTTGAGTAGCTCCTGTGATGGTGGTTGGTAGTATGGGAATTAGGAAGATTACTGATGCAGAAGCAGGACTTGATTTATCAAAATGCTGTTAAATTGTTGTTTTTCTCTCAACCATGTCCGGTGTAAATGTGGCAACGCTGTGTATAATTTCCGAAGATTTCGCTTTAGTTTTTTGCGCGTTTTTTTTGACAATTGGTAGCTGCAGGAGGATTTACCTAACTATCAACTAATTGTTAGATCTGACGACGAACTATGTATCGTAGTTGGTCTTTATCATCACTTTTTATCTCATATATCAGAATGATTCATTTTGTATATGTCATTTTTGCTGATTTTGATTTGTACTCAACTGGACTCCAGATCTCATTATGATCAAATTTAATATTTTATTTAGGGCATGAACGTAATAGTAGTTAGTTCGGTTTGGCCTCTACTGAGCTAGTTTGATCAATTGTTTATTTGGTTTTTTTGAAATGGGATTATAGACTACAATGCTCAAAAGATGTGCATTTTTTTTAAATTAAAATAATATAGAAGCCTGAAATGTTCATGTATTTTGTTATCTTACAAAACTTAGGGAAGGGATGTTTTGTGTATTTTTTAGTCTCAGAATGCTTGCAATTGGAAATCTTATGTTTAGCTGCATATTTGTTTTTGCAGCTGCCTTTGGAGCAATTTTGCATGTCATATCTACTTCACTTCTTGGAATAACAGCAATCACAATGGCTAATACCATTGCCGGTGAAGAAACTGTGCATAAGCTGGCCTCACTTTTGCTTATCATTCTTGGAGGTTGTTATGTTTTGTTGTTTATGACTGGAAGAGGTAGTCACAGTCACACCCACAACCAACCAATGGAGAAAATGGCCGTTGCTGGTCTTGTCCTTGTACCCGCGTTGTCTCCCTGTGCAACCACTCTTCCAGTATTTCTTGCTGTTGGAAATTCATCTTCCATGATGGTGCTTGCCATCATAGTGCTGCTGTTCAGGTATCAATTCTTTGGGCGCAAAACTTTCTTGTCTGTTGTACATTATGCAATTTTTTTCTTCTTTTNTTTTTTATCTTGTGGGAAATTTCAAGACTGACTTCTGAATCCTGTATTATATGCATCAAGTGGGTTTAAAGGTCAGTTTCTTGTTTGCCTTTGTTGCTATTTTGTCACATTTAAGAATCTTTTCCATGTATGATTAATAGGATATCACATCTTTTCCATCACTTATATTTTTTTCTTTGAAGGTAACTCAAATCTTAATTAGGGTTAGCAAAACATTTCCAGTCCCCGGTTCCCGCCCCGATTAGAGTGGAGAATCTCCATTTATAAGATGAGATTGAGATAACTATCATAGAGGTTGACCTCGTTGTTATTTCGGGCTAGTAAAAAAAAAGTAAATGACTCAAAGAGAATGAGTTAAAATTATTCGGATTTAATATTTCACGAGTTTCTTCCCAACAAAATGTAGATTAGTCTAGATATACGTAAATTGGCTCGAGTTCGAGGATATTAAGAAAAATGGGATTAGAGATTTGGAAAAAGTTTTTCCTCAAAGATGTTGAAAAATGGGAAATAATTTTTTTGATCCTCTTATATCGATTTTTTAAATTATTAATATATTTTATTAACCTTTTCTACTAAGTATGAAATAAAAGATTGTTTTCCATAGAGAATCTAAAATATATATATATATAGACACACATATAATTTATAAAGAGACTAGTTTATTGACTTTGGCCAAAAGAGAAGCATTAAAAAGGTGGACACAAAAAAACTTCCTCAATCCAATCTTGGTTCCTCTAGGGAGAGAAGCGAATGAGAAACATGTGGTCTCCRGAAATTCTCTCCAAATCTCTTAATAGAATGGACAAAACTATAAGAGATATCAGAACTTTGCTTACATTACACATACCACTAGACCAAGTCCCATAGAGCATCTTTCAATGAAATCGTTGGTTTGATCCTGCCAATAGCTAGAAGCCAAGCAAAGAATCTATATTTGTCTTTGAAATTTTTAACTTCATAGTTTATGAAATGAATGGGGAGGATGCATATTGTGGGGAGGGGGACGCCAAATGGTAAAAAAATTGTTGGCAAAGAAGATTCGAGAGGAGTCTAAGATCGAAAATTACTATCCCTAGTATCTGGGCAGATGTTAATCCATTGTATAGTGCTTATGAGGAGAAATAAATCATGTCAACATGAGTATAGCTCAACGATTAAGGCATATGACTCATTTTCTCAAATCCCCACACCCCATTTTTGTTGTAGTCAAATTCATCCGTCTCTCGGTCCGGTCGAAAAAGATGTCCATGAAAATAGTTGTTCAAAGAAGAACTCCAAGACCACTGCTATGGAATATACTCCTTTTCCTCGAAGCAAATGTGGTTGCCCTCTCCTACTGAATATTTTTAGAATTTTAGAAAAAAAAAAAACTATATCCTAGGTAGGTGGTTACCATCACTTGAATCAATTCCCTCTACTATTTAATTACGCGTTGCATTTAAGTTGGACATATCAATGTTATAATGTTTGTGAAGGAGCGCACTTGATTTATTTCTTAACATTCCAAGGAATTGATTGCTTAGTTTGAATGATTTCTGTTCCGCTTCGAGTTCTAATTAGTTATTAACCTAAGAACTCAGGGCTTAAAAAACCATTCATGATCATGCATACCATACACATTCAAAAGGCAATTTTAAATCTGAGATTCATTCCATCGATACTAGGTTGACTCTGATTTTGGATTTGCAGCACAATAACTGTGATGACTTCGTTGGTAGCTCTGTCATTCTACGGCGCCAGCCAGCTCAAGTTTCACTGGGTCGAACGATACGACAAACTTCTAGTAGGTTCGGTGTTGTGCGTGGTAGGTATTCTGACTCTTGTTTTTCACGACCATGACCACGACCACCATGGACANGAACGATACGACAAACTTCTAGTAGGTTCGGTGTTGTGCGTGGTAGGTATTCTGACTCTYGTTTTTCACGACCATGACCACGACCACCATGGACATGGAGGTTCCATTGGAGACAATTTGCATAGGAAAATTATTGTACTTTGAAGGATTTATCTCATCTTATATTGTCCTGCAGATACTTATTTTTTTTATCTTGTGGGAAATTTCAAGACTGACTTCTGAATCCTGTATTATATGCATCAAGTGGGTTTAAAGGTCAGTTTCTTGTTTGCCTTTGTTGCTATTTTGTCACATTTAAGAATCTTTTCCATGTATGATTAATAGGATATCACATCTTTTCCATCACTTATATTTTTTTCTTTGAAGGTAACTCAAATCTTAATTAGGGTTAGCAAAACATTTCCAGTCCCCGGTTCCCGCCCCGATTAGAGTGGAGAATCTCCATTTATAAGATGAGATTGAGATAACTATCATAGAGGTTGACCTCGTTGTTATTTCGGGCTAGTAAAAAAAAAGTAAATGACTCAAAGAGAATGAGTTAAAATTATTCGGATTTAATATTTCACGAGTTTCTTCCCAACAAAATGTAGATTAGTCTAGATATACGTAAATTGGCTCGAGTTCGAGGATATTAAGAAAAATGGGATTAGAGATTTGGAAAAAGTTTTTCCTCAAAGATGTTGAAAAATGGGAAATAATTTTTTTGATCCTCTTATATCGATTTTTTAAATTATTAATATATTTTATTAACCTTTTCTACTAAGTATGAAATAAAAGATTGTTTTCCATAGAGAATCTAAAATATATATATATAGCACATAAAATAGTATACAAAGTCATTTGCATTTTAATTTCTACCTGACTTTTTTTTTCCACGCAGAAATAATTAAAATTATGTAAGGAATAAATATTATTAGTGGTAAAGTCATTTGCATTCTACTTTCTACAAGACTTATTTTTTCATGTAGAAATAATTAAAATTGTGCAAGCAAATATTAATAGTGGTASTGGAATAGAGAAAATATGAAATTCAAAGTTATTTGCATTCTAAGCTCTAAACGACTCCTTTTATTAAAATTTTGTGAGTAAATATTAATTGTAGTAATTGTATTTCAAAGATCAATTTTTTGTCAGAAAAAAGAAAAAGAAAAAAAAAGAAAGAGCTCTAATTGGTCGGTGGGACGGGATGGCCGTAGGAGAGAGAGATTTGTTTTTTTCGCCGCATCACCTATATGAAAATAATATAAAATAAATATTTTTATCCCGTAAGCATATAATATTATAAATTAATATTAACTCAAAATTCAAAAATAAAAATGTAAATAGAAACTATGCTCTAAGTCCAAAATTAAAGAATAAAAATGTAATATTTTTTCAATCTTAGAGACCAAATAAAAATTAAATTCAAAATTTAGAGGTAAAATAGAATATTAAAAAATAGTGAACAATTGAAAATTAAACTAGAAATCGACGGGAAGGATATTTTTCCCAATAATAAAAATTATGCAATCATTTTAATTGCAGAAAGGGTCAGATTTTTTACTTATTATTATTATTATTATTATTATTATTATTATTATTATTATTATTATTTTAATGGGGATACCAATTACCAAC